TACCCGGCACTGCACCCATGACTTCCGGGGCCCGTGGCAGTGTGCTCAGCAGTGACATCTGCCTGCAGGGCGTCCCCCGTGAGCAGATGGGGGCCTTGCTCTCTCTAAAGCGAGTGAGCCGCGAGCCTTCCTCAGTTGCCGAGGTGGGTGTTCATTCATTCATTCATGGAGCTCTAGGAATTGAGCGTCTCCTCTGCCAGGCTCTGTCCTGGGACGCGTCAGGGAATACGTCACCAAAGCCTCTGCCCTGCTGGAGCTTCCTCCAATGAGAGACCGAGCGTAGACCGGTAAACCTGCCGTGCATGGTCAGGGCAGGGCGGCTCCATCAGCAAAATCCAGCAGTGCAGGGAGCCGGGGGAGCGGCGGCCCCGCTGGTGTAGCCCTGAATGAATGAATGACCAGCCGGTGTTCTGACGGGGGAACGCCCATGCTTCACCCGCTGTCGCCTGGGCCCTCCTGATTCTCTCCAGCACAGAAGCACACTGGACGTTACGTCCTGGAGGAGGCCACGCCCCCCTTCAGCTGGACAGAGGCAGGAAGGCATGACCCCAAGGCCCCTTAGTAAGAGCACTTGGTGTGTGAGGTCATGCAGGCCTGGGGTGTGTCCTGGGCCTGCCAGTTGTCATCTGTGTGCTCTGTCTCTTTTTTATTCTTTATTTTTAAGTTTTAATTTTTTTGACAGGCAGAGTGGACAGTGAGAGAGAGAGACAGAGAGAAAGGTCTTCCTTTGCCGTTGGTTCACCCTCCAATGGCCGCCGCGGCCGGCGCGCTGCGGCCGGCGCACCGCGCTGATCCGATGGCAGGAGCCAGGAGCCAGGTGCTTTTCCTGGTCTCCCATGGGGTGCAGGGCCCAAGCACCTGGGCCATCCTCCACTGCACTCCCTGGCCACAGCAGAGAGCTGGCCTGGAAGAGGGGCAACCGGGACAGAATCCGGCGCCCCGACCGGGACTAGAACCCGGTGTGCCGGCGCCGCTAGGCGGAGGATTAGCCTAGTGAGCCGCGGCGCCGGCCGTGTGCTTCTGTTTCTGTGAGCCTCAGTTTTCTCGTGTGTAAAATGGGTGCAGTGGCCGGCTCTTCCTCATGAGATGGGATTGTGAGGACAGGCCTCCAGGAAATCCTAGCAGATTCTAGTATCAAACTGTGCTTTGGGAAAAGGGCACCGCTGGGACATGGGGACCCAGGCCCACAGAGTAGCGTGGACTGAGGACGGGAGAGGGGAGGGGAATGGGGAAGGCAGCTGGGCCCATCCCGGAGGTTCCTGGAGCAGGCTAGGAAGAGGGGCCTGAGCCTGGGAACAGATGGGACCAGCGGCCCCACCGGCCTCGTGGTCTTCAAACCCAGTCTGAAATCTTTTGGGCCACTCTGGAGTGTGAACTCCACCAAAGAAGCAAAACAGCGTCACAGCTACAGTGGCCGCCTCGGGCTGAGACCCAGGCACAGGGTTCCCAGGTTTTCCTAATGTGGTGACCTTGATCTTCGTTTCCCATGGCCTCTCTGTTCCCGTCTGTAAAATGGAACCAACAGTACCTGCCTTGAGTTTTGGGAAGAAGCAAGATGACGCGTGGCTAACATTCACCAGGCATTACTGTGACAGGTTAAATGTGTAAAAGTTGGATGTTGTGATAAAACGCACATACCGTGGACTTTGCCATCGTAACGATGTTTAAAAAAATTTTAAGGTTTATTTATTTATTTGAAAGTCAGGGCTTTCAAATAAAGGAGAGGCAGAGAGAGAGAGAGAGAGAGAGAGAGAGAGCTCTTCCAATCTTTGGTTCACTCCCCAAATGACTTCAATGGCTAGGACTGGGCCTGGCCAAAGCCAGGAGCCTGGCGTTTCATCCAGGTCTCCCACGTGGGTGCAGAGGCCCAAACACTTGGGCCATCTTCTGCTTTCCCAGGCATATTAGGAAGCTAGATCAGAAGTGGAGCATCCAGGACTTGAACCGGCGCCCATACAGGCTGCTGGTGCTTAAGGCTTAACCCACTGCACCACTGCGCCACAGTGCCGGCCCCTGTCTTACCCATTTTTAAGTGTGCAGTTCATTGGTGTTAGGACTTTCCAATACATAGATCTGAAACTCCACATGCATTAAACTACTGCTCCCCCAGCCCTGGTCCCTCATAGTCCTGCCTCCTGTCTCCCTAGGTTTGACCGCCATGAACGCCTCACATTCTTGCGGTCATGCAGTGTTTATCTTTCTGTGGCTGGCTTGGTCCACCATGTCTTCAGGGTTCATTCACCTTATAGCACTCAGCAGAATTCCTTTTTCAAGGCTGCATAGTGTTCCCTCGCAGGCGTGTGCCACACCTGTTTATCCATTCACCCATGGATGGCAGCTGGGCGTGAATGGGGCTGCTGGTATGAATGGGGCTGCCATGCACAGGGGTGTCCAGATGTCTCAGACGCTGCTGTCGGTCCCCTGGGCTGGAGCCAGAAGTGATATTGCTGCATCATTTGCTGTTGTGATTTGAAGGAAGGGTGCTAGGTTTGTTCACACCATGTGTTCACACTGTGTGTTCACACTGTGTCTCCCCTTGCCCACCAGGGTAAGAGCAGTGCCTGGAGCTGTGTCCAGCAGTGTGAAAACCTGGGGTCAAGTGCACTGATAGACTTCTCCATCTCCCCTTCTTCCTGTCCAGGCCAATTTGCCTCTTGAGTTATTTTCTCATTCTCCCAGGCAGGTGTTTTTTGATTATCCCCCAAATGTTTATGGGAGCCTGCTCTGTGCACTTGCGGGCAGAGGGAGCTGAGCATCACGGGCCAGTCACCTCACCTGCCAGACGCTGATGGGTGCCGTGGACAAAGCAGAGCCCTAGGGAGAAGGGGCTGGGGGAGGCCCAGGGCAGGGGTTTCTCCGAGGTGTGAGGCTTGTGCGAGGATGAGGAGGAGTGAGGGTGTTTGCCGTGTGTGCCGGCAGAGGGGACAGCCAGTGCAAAGGCTGTGTGGTGGGAGCATGCTGGAGTGGGCAGAGAGCAGCGTGGGGGCGGCAGAGCAGAAGGAGGGAGGGGGAGGGGCCGCCCCATCGCCGTGTCAGGACCTGGATGGCGGGTGGGAAGAGACTGGTCTGACAGTGCTGCCTGGTGAGTGCCCAAGGGTGAGGAGAAAGGGGCAGGAGACCGTGGGGAGACACCTGCCGAGACCCACGTGGAGGACGGGGCAGCAGCCAACGTGGCCCCAAAGTCCCAGAGCCCAGTGTCCACCCGGTGGCAGACTGTCACACCGCCCTCCCGCCCTCCCTCTGGGCTGCTCAAGTGGGTGGGATGGGAGCACCCTTCCGCACCAGCATCTCTCTCTCTCTCTCTCTCTGTCCTGTAACATGATTGTCCGAAACCTTCTGGGTTCCTCTGTGTTGGGACTGTTGCCATGGAGACCTCCCAAGATGCCTCGCTTAACCTCTGGCTTCCAATTAGACCTCCAGATAGAACAGGCTTCTCTCCTCGAGTATTGTGTGTGTGTGTGTGTGTGTGTGTGTGTGTGTGGTGGGGGCTGAACCAAGCCCCCCTAGAATCCTTCCTCCTCGGAGCCTCTCCAGAGTGTGTTACGTAGGGGAGTGTGTGTGTGTCTGTGTGTGTGTGTGTGTGTGTGTGTCTGTGTGTGTGTGTCTGTGTGTCTGTGTCAGATCATTCAGCCGCTGCCCTCAGTTTCAGGCCCAAGGATGGCACTGTGTGAAGGGTTTCTTCAGCTAAACGCTTCTCTCTGCTTAGCTCCAAGGTGATTAGGCTTCACCTCCCTGACACTGCCGCCGTCTTCCTGTTCATGGTGATTTTCATTGCACTGCACAGCCACTTGAAGCTCAGCTGCCAGGGCCAGGTGTGTGGCACGGGGTTAGGGTGCCCCTTGGGACTCCCACAGCCTACGTGGGAGCAGGATGCCCGAGTCAAGTCCCGGCTCTGGCCTTATTCTGATTCTAGCTTCTTGCTAACGTGTGCACTAGGAGGTCGCAGGTGGCTCAAGTATTTGGATCCTTGCCACGCACGTGGGAGACCTGGATTGAATTCCCAGCTCCTGGCTTCAGTGGGCCCAACCCCAACCGTTGCAGGCACTTGGGGAGTAAACCAGAATAAGAGAGATTCTCATTCTTCCTCCCTCTCTCTCTCTCCCCTCCTCCCCTCCCCCTCTCCTCCCTCCTCCTCCTCTCCCTCTTTCCCCTCCATTCGTTCCCGCTCCCTCCCCTCCTCCCCCTCCCTCTCCATTCCCTCCTCCTCCCCCTCCCCTCCTGCCCCTCTCCCTCCCATCCTCCTCCTCCCCTCCTCCTCCCCTCCTCCTCCCCCTCCCCCCCTCCCCCCTTCTCTCTGCAGGGCTGTTGGGTATGGGCAACACTTTATGATGAGAAATGCTGGGTTGCTTCCAAGGCTGTTAGATTCCTTTTTGAAGAAGCTGTAGTTTGCCTGGGGCCCCATGTGTAACCTCCCCCTCCCCCATCCTACGTGCCCAGCCCCACCCAGCCCCACCCAGCCCCACGGCCTCCCCCTCCCCTTGCTCTAGGCATTTAATCTTGCGCAACTAGTGAGGAACTGGAGGAAGGGATCCTGTGTCTTAGGAATAAAAGGAGTTGAGTATCTGAGGGTGGGCCTGCTTCCACCTGCTGGCCACCTCGCTAAGACCTTGCTTTCTGCTTCCTCCATGTTTGAGTCCAGCCTTTAGTGGGCAAGTGGTCTCAGGTGAGCTTATCTCCCACAAGATCAACAGACAGAATTGGTCTTAATTCAAGATTTTTTAATGATAAAGGTTCAGTAAGCTCATGATGGAAGTGCCAACAACAGAAAAAGCCAAGCCCAGTCACCTGCAGCCCCCAGCGCCAGCACCCAGCGTCAGCGATTGTTGCTGTCCTGGTGCCTTCCCTGTGCTCCGGAGCCTTTGTTTGCTTCTTTCCCAAAAGGAAGCGGGGGAGGGGAAACGGGAGGTGGGAGCTCTATAAAGCTTTACTTGTTTATTTGACAGTCAGAATTATAGAGAGAGGAAGAGACAGAGAAAGATCTTCCATCCGCTGGTTCACTCCCCAGAGGACCACAGTGGCCAGAGCTGGGCCAGGCCTAAGCCAAGAAGTTTGTCTGGGTCTCCCACATGGGTGGCAGGGCCCACACCCTTGGGCCTTCTTCCGCTCCTTCCCAGTGCATCTGTAGGGAGCTGGATGGGAGTGGAGCAGCCGGGACACAAGCCAACACCCCTGTGGAATGCAGTGTCCCAGGCGGGGACTTTACCTGTGATGCCACACCGCCGGCCCCATCTGAGAACCATTGTTTAAAGGCAAAACTGGAATTACATTGTAGTTGCAGTGGGATGCCAGCCCACCACCTCCCTAAGGAAAGAAAACATAAAAATCCCTGATTCGTAGCATTTGTCAATTCCTGCAGCCTAAGTATCCCCACTGTGCTAATTTCAGGAATTCACAGCACTGACGCAGAGCTGGGCAGAGAAACACAGAAATGTTTCTCACCAGCTCGTGTGCGCCAGTCCTAGCAAACCCTGCTGTCTTTTTAATGATGTCTTTTTTCCTGATCTTGATGTTAAAATGTTGAGAATTCCCATAACACAAAGGGAAAAATTTAAATCACCACCCTCCCCTCTGCTTAGCCGGATCCTACTGCGTAGCCTAACAGTCCTGTGTCTGGGGACAGAAGTACACAGATAGCTCTCTGCAGAGTTCCAGAGCCGTGCGCATTGACGGCCGAGAATTTGGAAGCCACAGAGAAGTCTCAGGCGCCTCATCATTCCCAGATAACGTCGGAGCACGCTCCATTTTCCTGCGTGCGTCTTTCTGACACGATTGGGCCTGTGGTTCGAATATTTCTGATTTTCAGTCATAGCACAAGCATATTCCATGCTCTGGAGAAGGTGACAACCCCGGGGAGAACATTACCACTGGTAACTTACCAACTACGCTGCCGGGGCATCAACAGGTGCAGCATAGGAGTCCTGCTCCCTGGCAGCGCAGGCCCGGCCTAGATGAAGCTCAGGTGGTCTGAAGTCTCGGTTGACCCTGGTCTGGGGCCCTGGGATATCTGTGGGTCTCTTTTCCACCTGCTTTCCCCTCCAGGTCTGCACTGGAAAATGAGCAGGGAGAGACACTGAGCTTGGGCTTAAGCCTGGAAACCAGTTCATTGCTTTGTGCGAACAGCCAGCATTCTCTGAGCACCCACCACCTCGTGGCAGGTGCCCGCCTGGGCACCAGGATACAGAAGTGGGAGAGATGCGGTGGCTGCTCTCTGCCCAGGCAAACCCAGGAGCTGCCTGCACCACAGCTCAGGGAACAAAGAGAGAGACCAGGGGGGTGAGGTGCCGCGGCTGTGCCTGCCAGTGGTGAGTGCCCTTGGCCCTGCTGAGACAGGCATCCCCGGCAGGGGAGCTGGCACAGTCAGGGCCAGGCGGCAGAGAGGGGCAGCCCAGAGCCAGGCGTCCCAGAGCCCCGGGCTAACTGCTCCCTCTTTCTCCTCCAGGTCCCACCCCTGTGGACCCATGGCTGGTTTTTCCAGTTTGCTCCCTAAGCACAATTTACATATTTCTCTGAAGAACCATCCAGAAGCTAAACACACCGTCTTTGGACATAGACGCAGGAGAGGCCCACGGCTGTGTCTCAAAACTCGGGTAAGTGTTATTTAAGTTCTCACTGGACTTCCTCTTTTACTGCCTCTCTCTCAGCAGGGGGCTGACATCTGTCAGCCTGCGTCCCCGCCGAGTCCCCGACAGGTGGCATGGTGCCAGTGCGTTTTGTCAGATTAATAACTGGTGAATTGGTAGTGGAGGTGAATATTTATTTATAATTTGCTTAGGCCTTAAAAAAATCTTTAACATTCTAGATACACCCTGTTGTGGTGGTGTTTTTTTCAACTGTTGTTTTAAAATGATTAGAGATACCCAGGAAGTTGCAGAACTAGTACTGAAAGGTCCCATGAGCCTTCACTCAGCTCCCCAGAAATCTGGGGGAAGGGGGTGGGGCAGCTGGCAGGTGTCACCCGTATTGAAGTTCCAGTTCAAATTCTAGCACCCTGGTGATCAGCTTCCTGCTACTGTGCCTGCAGCACGTGAGGGCCTGAGTACTTTGGTCCCTGCTACCACGTGGGAGGCCCAGATGGAGTTCTGGGCTCATGGCTTCCACCTAACTCACCCTGGGCTGTTGCACTCATTTGGGGAGTAAGCCAGTGTATGTAAGATTTCTCTCTCTCTGTCTCTGCCTTTCAAATAAATAAGTAAATAAATAAATGAAATCTCTTTTTAAAAATTTTATTTATTTGAAAGAGTTACACAGATAGAGAAGAGGCAGAGAGAGAGAGAGAGAGAGAGAGGTCTTCCATCCACTGGTTCACTCCCCAACTGGCCGCAATGGCTGGAGCTGTGCCGATCTGAAGCCAGGAGCCAGAAGCTTCCTCCAGGTCTCCCACGTGGGTGCAGGGGCCCAAGGACTTGGGCCATTTTCTATTGCTTTCCCAGGCCATAGCAGAGAGCTGGATTAGAAAAGGAGCAGCCAGGACTCGAACCGGCGCCCATATGGGATGCCAGCACTGCAGGCGATGGCTTCACCTGCTACACCACAGCACCAGCCCCTATAAATGAAATCTTACAAATCAATGTAGAGCTGGACTTTGGCTTAGCAATTAAGACACCAGTGAAGATGCCCACATCCCCCATCAGAGTGCCTGAGTTCAAGTCCCAACTCTGCTTCTGAGTCCAGCTTCCTGCTGATGCACACGCTGGGAGACAAGGGGTAATGGCTCAGGTACCTGGGTCTCTGCCTCTTGCCTTCAGCCTTGCCTAGCCCTGGCTGTTACAGGCATCTGGGGAGTGAACCAGTGGATGGAAGGTCTGTATGTGTGTGTGTGTGTGTGTGTACATGTTATGCCTTTCAAATAAAACGAAAATAAATTTAAAAACTAAGTCTTTACTCCTTCTCAGATCAACCTGGCCCTTGGTGCTACAACCCTGGGCAACTTCCTCCGCATGCACCCTCCACGCCTGCCCACTGCCCCAAGCCTGGCTGCACTGAACACCCTCTGGGTTTCAGAAGCAGCCCCCCTCTTCTGCCTCTGGGACTTGACACATGCTGTCCCCTGTGCCAGGGACGTGCCCCTCCCACCCCACCACACCCCTGCCTGAGCCACTCCCACGTAGCATCCAGGCCTGAGCGTCACTGTCACTTCCAGGGAGCCAGTGCCGGTGCCGGGGCCTCAGTCTCCCTCCACCTCTGGTGTCCCCATCACAGTGCTCATTCCCGGGCTTGTCGTCATCTGTCTGCTTGCCAGCATCTGCCCCTGGGCCAGGGTTTCCTCTGCTGGACAGCCCTGTCCTGTCCACCCACAGGACCGTCCCCTGGCTTCCCTCAGCCTCTGCCAGGGCCACCTTTCATTGGCATACACAGTAGGCACCTCCTTCCCCCAACAAGGTCTGTGCTGGTGTAGGATTGCTAATCCCCCCCCCAACACACACTTTTCTTTTTTTTAAGTTTTATTTATTTGTTTGAAAGGCGGAGGTACAGAGACTGATCTTCCATCTGCTGGTTCACTCCCCAAAATGGCCGCAATGGCTGGAGCTGGGCCAGGCTGAAGCCAGGAGCCAGGAGCTTCATCCGGGTCTCTCACATGGAGCAGGGGCCATCTTCCGCTGCTTTCTCAGGCATGTTAGCAGGGAACTGGATTGGAAGTGGCGCAACCAGGACTCGAGCCAGCGCCCCTATGAGATGCTGGTGTTGCAGGCAGTGGCTTAACCCACTGCACCACAGCACCAGCCTTGCCATCCCCCTTCAGAGCAGGAATGGTCAGTTGGGTCCCCTGATCAGCCCCAAGGCCCAGAACATCAGCTGATTTAAGGCCTGAGCTGATTTAAGGGCATCCCATGGCTTGTGCTCTTCTCCATCCAACCAGCAAACGTCTGTTCGTGCCTGCGGTAGTCCAGGGCCTGCACAGCAAGCTAGGGAGACAGCAGTGATGAAGCTGCCTGGGGGGCGGCGCTGCAGCGCTGTGGGTAAAGCTGCCTCCTGCAGTGCCAGCGTCCCATATGGGCGCCTTTTGGAGTCCTGGCTACTCCACTTCTGGTCCAGCTCCCTGCTAATATGCCTGAGAAAGCAGTGGAAGATGGCCAAGTACCTGGGCCCCTGCACCTGCATGGGAGACCCGGAAGCAGTGCCTGGCTCCTGGCTTCAGCATGGCCCAGCCCATGCAGCCATTTGGGTAGTGAACCAGTGGATGGAAGACCTCTCTCTCTCTCTCTCTCTAACTCTGCTTTTTAAATAAATAAAATAAACCTTAAATTTTTTTAAGTTTGTTTAAAAGAAAGAAACAACATGAGGGTGCCTCAAGATACCTATTGTTGTATCTGAATACTCAGGCAAGCTAACAAGTATTCTCAAAATAGAACAGGGGGCTGAGATAGTGGGCAGAGTTACTCCAGCCTGGGTGGTCAGGGAGGTCCTCTTGGAGGAGGTGACCCTCGGGGAAGGTTAGGGGAAGGATGTTCCAGGCAGGGGGAATGGCAGGTGCCAAAGCTGGCGGGGGCGGGGGGAGACCAGGTGTGTATTTAAGAGCAGAAAGACAGGCAGTGTGGCAGTGTGCATGCACGCAGGAGACAGGGCGGAGGCAGACACGGGCTGGACAGTGTGGGCCGTCATCCGGGGGTTGGGGTCTGTTACACGGGCAAGTGACATGCTGGGGGTATGTGACCGAGAGGCCCCTCGGGCTGCGGTGTAGCAGGTGCGGGACAGGCCCCCAAGAGTGAGTTGTGTGGAATGAGAGAGTGACCATGGCCTGAGCTGAGCTTTCTGGGAGCCAAGTGCACATCCCACCCCCACCCCCCTGGGGGCTAGAAACAGATCAGAGAAGCCTGCTTTTTCTTGAGCTAAGAGCTGACGTGGGGCTCCCACGCACGGTGCGTGGAGTGGATGCAGTGTAGGGGGAAGTCACAGCAGGTGCCACCCGGCCTGCTCTCAGTTCTCCCCTTTTCCACCACCAGAGTCCGGGCAGAGCCTCTGAGCGGGGAAACCCACTGCAAACCACAGCCTTGGGTTCCTGGAGCAGCCGTTCTTGCGGGGTGACTTTGGGCCCTGTGTTTCTGCACGGGAGGCGAGGGGAGGAGGATGCCCACGATGGCATAGCCAGGGGACAGCACGGGCACGAGGGGACAGCACGGGCGCGAGCGTCCGGGGCTACCTTGGGTCTCATCCCGTACTGCGTCTCTGGAGACCGCTGGCCTGGCCGAGCTGTCCTCAGCCGCTCACCCTCACCTGGGACTTAGCAGAAGGGAAGGGACTAGAAAGAGTTTTGCCAACTGTCACGCGCTGTGAAATCGTTGCTCTGTGGCTTTTAACTAACTCGGGGTTGTTTGCAAGGTTAATGAGTTACAGGGGGATTTTAGAAGGTTCAGGGAAACTAAAGATGAGTTGATTTGGGGGCAAAAATGAAGTTGTTTTGAAATCCATGCCTGAGAAGTATCTTCATGAAAATGCGTATTATATAAAAACTATACATGAATTTCAATTGTTTTTGCCAAAATAAGCTTATCTTTTCATTCCGTTTCCCACAAGTTTTTTGTTTTTGCTTTGTTTTTGTTTTTTTAGCACCCTCTTATTGGTTGTAGGCAGGCTTTCAAATACCCTCTCTAAAGAAGAAACATTTTCAGAACAAAAGACACATTTTTTTAAAGATTTATTTATATATTTGAAAGTCAGAGATACACAGAGATAGAAGGAGAGGCAGAGAGAGAGAGAGAGAGAGAGAGAGGTCTTCCATCCGCTGGTTCACTCCCCAATTGGCCGCAATGGCTGGAGCTTCACCGATCCAAAGCCAGGAGCTCTTTCTGGGTCTCCCATGCGGGTGCAGGGGCCCAAGGACTTGGGTCATCTTCTGCTGCTTTCCCAGGCCATAGCAGAGAGCTGGATTGGAAGTGGAGCAGCTGGGTTTCAAACCGGTGCCCATATGGGATGCCGGCACTGCAGGCAGTGGCTTAACCTGCTACACCACAGTGCCGGCCCCAAAAGACTTATTTTTTTTTTATTTATTTTATTTCTTTGAAAGGCAGAATGATCGAGAGAGAGAGAGAGATCATGCATGAACTGGCTCACTCCTCAAATGGCCACAATGGCTGGAGCCAGGCCATGTGGGTGCAGGGGCCCAAGCACCGGGCCATCTTCTGCCACTTTCCCAGGCCATTAGCAGAGAGCAGGATCAGAAGTGGAGCAGCTGGCATTGCAGGCAGCGGCTTAACCCACTGCACTGCAATGGCTTAACCCCCAGGGCAAAAATGTGTATTCCTTAGCTGGATGGGCACCAACTGTGGACCCAGAACAGCATGCCGCGTGGTTATTAGACTAGAAAGCTCTGGCCACCTGAGGAGAAGTAGAACAGAGGTGGTGGCCCGGCACTCTGGCCCCGGCTGTCTCAGTCCTGTGGTTGCCGGCTGTGGGACCTGGGCCCACATCCTCCACTGAGCCCATCTCCTCCCTCACACGCTGGACTCTGGACGTGAAGGGCTGACCCGCCCCGAGAGGCTTGTTGGCTCTCGTTCTTGTTTATTGCACCTGTGTGAGAGGCGGCTCCTGCTAAGCGCTGGTTGATGCTTTTATACGTTGATTTCCTTCACAAGCATTTACACAGCTGTGTCCCAACGCTTCACAAATGCTGATGCTCATGGCCCGCTGGCTGACACCACACTTCCTGGGGGGGGGGGGGGTCAGGGAGAAAGCTCAGTGAACAGAGCTTGAGTTGCCCAGGGTCCCCCATCTGTTAAGTGGAGGTGCCCAGACTCCCTCCCAGGACCACCTGGTGCTGAGCCTGTGTTCCTAGCCGCACTGCTCTGCAGTCAAGGCTGGTACCCCACCCCTCCCTTCCCCTCCCCTCCCCTCTACCCCTCCCCCCACTTTCTCCCCCTGCCTCCCTCCCTTCCTCCTCCCTTCCTTCCTTCCGTGCTGGGGGTGCAGCAGTCACAGAGCGCACGCATCTCCAGCAGACGGCTCTGAGAGCTGTGCCGTGCACCTGTGTAGCCACAGCCCGGGTGAAGATGAGACAGCCCCATGCCCAGCCTGCCCTGTCCCTCCTGAGTCGGTCCTCACTCCCACAGGTGACCTCTCTCCTGCCTTCCATCACCGCTTCAACTCCACTCAAGCAGGGTAGTGCAGGAGGCACCCTTTCTGTGTTTCCTGTTGTCTGAGACGCATGCGTGTGGTGGCGATTAGCCAAGGTCATTCTCTTTCTCTGCTGTGTGATAGTCCATGGTGTGACTGTGACGCAGCTTTGCACGCTGTGGTGGGTGCACGTGTGGATTGTGTCCCCTTTGGGACTGTGGTCATCCATCGGTATCCTCAGGGGCTTGGTCTCAGGATGCCACCCCCAATGGATATGGAAATCTGTAGGTGCTCAAGTCCCTTAACTAAAATGGTATAGTATTTGCATATAATATATGCGCACACTCCTGTGTACTTTTCTTAAAGATTTTGGGGCCAGCACTGTAGCGCAGTGGGTTAACGCCCTGGCCTGAAGCACCAGCATCCCATATGGGCACTGGTTCAAGACCTGGCTGCTCTGCTTCCTGTCCAGCTATCTGCTACGACCTGGGAAAGCAGTAGAAGATGGCCCAAGTCCTTGAGCCCCTGCACCCATGTGGGAGACCTGGAAGAAGCTCCTGGCTCCTGATCAGTGCAGCTCCGGCCGTTGCAGCCATCTGGGGAGTGAACCATCGGATGGAAGTCTCTCCCTCTCTCTCTCTCTCTCTCTCTCTCTCTCTCTCCATCTGCTAGATAACTCTCCAAGTAGCTGCAACAGTGAGGACTGCGCCAGCCAAAGCCAGGAGCCAGGAACTCCATTTGGGTCTCCCACATGGATGGCAGGAGTCCAGGGACTTGAGCCATCTTCCGCTGCTTTCCCAGGTGCATTAGCAGGGAGCCGGAAGGGAAACTCAACACCCAGGACTTGAACCAGTGCTCTGATATAGGATAGGGATGCACTGTTGCAGGCAGGGACTTAACCCGCTGCGCCACAGCGCCGGCCCCTTTCCTGGATACTATGTATCATCTCTACATTACTACAAAGCCCAATACAATGTGAATGCCTTGACAGTCACTCCACTGTGTTGCTTAGGGAATAATGACAAGAAGAAAGGCAGCACGTGTTCAGCACAGATGCGGCGTTTGTTCCAAGGTGTTGGATCAGCGGTTGGGAGAACCTGTGGATGTGGAATCCACGGACACAGGGCTGATGTGTGTGATTGGCAGCGCTGTGAGCATCACAGACTCGGGGCTCGGGGGGGCTGTGAACGGTACCAAACACAAACCCTTTGTGGGTAAACGCATTGAAAACATCTCTCCCCACCCCGGTGTCTGAGGTGTGTTTTCACTTTCCTAAAGGTGGTGGTGAGAAGTTCTTTTGTCTTAATGAAGCCTAATTTTCAATCTTTTCTGGTTTCTGATTTTTATGTCTCATGTAAGTAGCATGCGCCCTCCCCTGGACGCATCTCTCACTGGGTTTTTTTCCTGCAGGGCTGGGGATGGCCACAGGGGACAGGCGAAGCCCGAGGCTGCCCCAGGTCACCGAGCCAGCCGCACAGGGGGAGCCCCACGTGCCCACGGGCCGGGAGCTGACCGAGGCCAACCGCTTCGCCTATGCCGCGCTCTGTGGCATCTCCCTGTCTCAGCTCTTTCCAGAACCCGAGCAAAGGTGAGTTCGTGGGTCTCCCGGAGAGAAGGTCATGCTCCTTGGGGGAGCCAAGCCAGGGACCGCGGGAGGCACAGAGGAGCAAGCCAGTGTCCTTGGCTGAAGCAGCTCGCAAGCTGGGAAGGGGAAAAGACAGCCCGCCACCCAGTTAGTCAGCATTTTTTGAGCACCTACTGTGTGCAGGCCTGCTTTGTGGTGCTTGGAGGGCGTCTGCGAATAAGACGAGTGAGACAGGCGCCTTCCCTTCTCAGACAGGACACAGTCCGGTAGGGGGTAAGAGATGGGTGAACGCGTGAAACATGCCCTTGTTGAGCACCTACTATGTGCTGGTGTCGTGCACAGCCCTGTGGAGGAGACAGCGGACAGCAGGACTTGGCTTCTGCCCTCAAAGTGCGCGCGCCCTGCGGGGTCCCCCTGGCTCATCGTAGTGGCAGACAGGGGCAGCTGTACTCACGCGGGTCACTGGACACCTGCACAGGTGTGCCGTGGGAGCAGATGAATGACAGGGTTAATCTCTGTGTCATATGTCATGTCTGTTGTTGGCAGTATCCATGGTAGATGTGTTTAAATCATACAAGGGTACTTCAGAAGGTTCATGGAAAACGGAACTGAAGGTGTCTATTTTAGTGCAGAAAAAATGGAAATCCACGGGCATCAGAGGCCTCCAAAATTTCATGGATACGGGAGGTATTTGACCTGTTGGTTACGATGCCAATTAAGACACCCACGTCGGGTAGGCAGCATCATGGCGTATCGGGTAGTCTCTGCCTGTGGCACTGGCATGCCACGTGGGTGCCAGTTTGAGTCCTGCCTGCTCCACTTCCCATCCAGCTCCCTGTTAATGCCCCGGGAAAAGCAGCAGCAGATGGCCCGAGTGTTTGGGTCCCTGCCATCCACGTGGGAGACCCAGATGGGATTCCAGGGTCCTGGCTTCAGCCTGGCCCGGCCCTGTGCATTGTGGCCATGTGGGGAGTGAACCAGTGAATGGAAGATAGCTCTGTGTGTGCGCATGTGTCCTTTTCTCTGTTACTCTGCTTTTCAAATAGATAAATAAAAAATTTTTTTTTAAATTGAGGGAGGTAAATTGGAGTTGACTTGGGAGCAGGTCAAATGTTGGGTAGGCAAAAGCAGGACCTAGGTGTGGCCCCAGTGGCTTGGGTGGTGGTGCACACAGGACAGAGGTGTCATTGCTAAGGCGGGGGGGGGGGGGCAGCAGGTTGGGGGCAGGAAATGAAGAGAAGTTCTTGTACCTGCAGCGCTTCCAAGACCCTTACCCTACCCCCCACATGAATGCTCAGTGGCCCCCTCATGCCTTGGGTCCTAACTGGGGATTTTGCTTCTGATTTTTTTTTTTAAAGATTTATTAATATGGGGGCCAGTGCTGTGACGTAGTAGGTTAAGCCTCTGCCTGTGTTGCTGGCATCCCATATGGGCGCTGGTTCTACTCCTGACTTCTTCACTTCCGATCCAGCCCCCTGCTGATGGCCTGGGTAAGCAGTGGAGGATGGCCCAAGTGTTTGGGCCCCTGCACCCACATGGGAGACCCGGAAGAAACTCCTGGCTGCCTTCAGATTGGCCCAGCTCTGGCCATTGCAGATATTTGGGGAGTGAACCAGTGGATGGAAACCTTCCCCTCTTCCTCTCTCTCTGTCTGTCAGTAACTCTGCCTCTCAAATAAATAAATAAATCTTTTAAAAAAGATTTATATGAAAGGCAGAGTTACAGAGAGAGAGAGAAAGAGAGTGAGAGAGATCCTCATCTGCTGATTCACTCCCCAAATGGCTGCAATGACCAGGGCTGACCCAGACTGAAACCAGGAGCCTGGACTCCATCCGGGTCTCCCACATGGGTGCAGGGGTCCAGGCACTTGGGCCATCCTCCACTGCTTCCCAGGCCATCAGCAGGGGGCTGGATCAGAAGTGGAGCAGCAGGGACTTAAAGCAGCACTCATGTGGGATGCCAGTGTCTCAGGCAGTGACTTAACCGTCATGGCCTTCACAATGACAGGCCTTTGCTTTGGCTTTTTATCTTTGTCTCTCCTGCTGGACTGCACGCAGGAACCTACTCATCTCCTTGGGGCAACCTGCACCCCAGGCCAGGGGGTTTCTCCAGCTGCCTCCCAGTCTGCCGCTCTCTGCGGTCGCCCCACTGCGCTGGGATTCATCCCACTCCCACTGCCTGTAGCAAGAGGACGGGAGCTGCCTTGTTGATGTCTGAGTCCCCTGTGCCTGACACACGGCCCCATGTAGCAAGGGCGCTCCGTAAAGGTTGGAGAGAAGAAGGGATGAGTTGGGGCAGGCATTTGTATTGGTTAAGATGCCACTCGCTTGGGACGCCCGCATCCCTTACCAGAGGGCCTGGTTTTAGTCTTGGCTCCTCTGCTTCTGATCCAGCTTCCTGCTCATGTGCACCCCTGGAGGCACATGGGTGGATCCTGCCACCCATGTGGGAGACCCAGTTCAAGTTCCGGCATTTAGAGAGGGAATCAGAGGATGAGAGATCTATCTCTCTCCCCCTCTCCCCCTCTCCCTTTCTCCCTCTCTCTCTCTCCCCATCTCCCTCTTTCCTCCTCTCCCCTCTCCCTTTCTCCCTCTCTCTCCCTCCCCATCTCCCTCTCCCTCTTTCCCCCATCCCTCTCCCTCTCCCCCCTCCCTCTCCCCCTCCCTCTCTCTCTCTCCCTCTTTCCTCCTCTCCCCCTTCCCCCTCTCCCCCTCCCCCTCTCCCTCTCTCCCTCTCTCGCTCTCTCCCTCTCTTGCTCTCTCCCCCATCCCTCTCCCCCCCTTCCTCTCCCTCTCCCCCTTTCCCTCTCTTCCCCTCTCCCTCTCCCTCTCTCTCCCTCTCCTGTTGCTGTGGATTCGTTTTGGGAGGGGAAGCATGGTGGGGGCAAGAGACGCAGAGTCACCACAGACACCGGGAGTCGGGTGAAAGCAGGCCTGAGGCGAGCAGGCTGCAGACTCGTTTATTTCAGTTGGTGCAGCAGCTTATATAGCCAAGGCAGCCAATCCAGCCAAGGGATGGTCTATGCCCTAACCAATCACACCCTGTTGCCAGGCAGTTTCCAAAGCCATCCAATCATAGCCTGTTATCAGTCAGGCTCTGTTGTCATGTGCTTTCTGAAACCATCCAATCACAGCCTGTTGCCAGGCAGTTTCTGTTGCCAGTGGCCATCTTGGCATGGCCTTCTCATTCCACCACATTTCCCCCTTTTTGTTTATTTTTGAGCAACGGGAGGCATGATTCTTGGCCATACCATTGTTGACCCCGTTTCCATGTGGTCTCTGTATGCAGCTGTGCCTGTCTTAGGTTGTCCCCCAGGGGATCTTACCCGTTGTTGACTAACCAGCACTCAAAATGGGAGACCACGGGATTGCTTGCTCAGATGGGGTAGGAATGAGGAACAGTGGTAATCAGGAATGGCATGACCACACACAGACTGTGGGCCATTCGAGTGGCTGACCAGAGCTAGTGGGGTATAAAACAGTAATGGATGTGGCTATGGGCAGTTCCTCAGGGTAGGATGATAGGGCAGGTGCGTCTGCTAACAAGGCAGACTCTCAGTCTTGTTCAGCTGGTTCTGGTTGACTGTCAGTTGCAAGCTTGATGTTTCTGGCTGGTACCCAAATGGGCTGTCCCGCATTCTCTGGAAAGACACAAGCATATCCTCAGCCCTTGGTCAGCAGAGGGTGTGGTCCCTTCCATTCTCCTGCCAGGGGGTCTTCCCACCTAACCATAGAGGCTGGGGTCTGGAATGGAAAGGATCCCCAGTGTATATAAGCTGGGCTGACCCCTTGGGAATCAAAACTAAGAAAATTGATAGTGAAACGGACTTCAGTCAAAGCAAGCTGTGGGTCTGGGGACATATGATTGTTTTTCTGTCTTTGTAAGAGATCTTTAATCATCCTATGAGTTCTTTCAATGATTGCCTGTCCCTGTGGGTTATATGGGATACCTGTGGCAGACCGTATGTTCCAGGATTTCCGGAAGGAATTAAATTCCTGTGATATATACACTGGCCCGTTATCAGTCTTTATGGTCCAGGAGACACCAAGGACCAGCATGGCTGACTTAACTGCCTTTATCACATTATTAGCCTTTTCTCCAGATTGGGCTGTTGCAAATACAGCCTTTGAACAAGTATCTACCACCACATGGACAAACTTGTTTACCAAAGGAGTTAATGTGGGTGATGGCCACTTGCCAGAGCTTATTAGGAGCAAGGCCTCACGGGTTCACTCCTGCTTGTTGCAGTGGGCCTAACAGGGCGAGGGGTGCACAATTCTTGCAGTAGTGAACTAGGTGTTTGCATTGGCTCGTTGTTAGCTCTGGGGAAAGCAATTGTATGTTGCTTGCTGACGTATGAAAATTTTGGTGTAGAATATGGGCTTGTTCTAGGTGTCCAATGGAAGCCGTGTTGCAGGAGATAAGACGGTCGACCTTTTTGTTGTCTTGGAAAATAAAGCCAGGTAACCCAGTATGTGATCTTACGTGTGAGATATACCATGGGTGTTTTCTGTTCTCAGTTAGCTCTTTAAGTATTGTGAACATTTGATCAATTAGATTATTGGTCAGGTTAAAGACTGCAAAAGGGATCGTCTTTGCTACCTGTACTGAGTATTTGCTGTCTGAAAATATATTTACCGGCCCATCCTGGCTAAGGAGTAGAACCTTGACTATTGCCTTTATTTCTCCCACCTGTACTGATCCCCCATGGGGTTCTACATGGATCTTATCTTTTTCTGTTAAAGATTTGATCACTATTCCAAACAGTGACTTGTTGGCGTCCATAAACACACATGGTGCCATGGGTATAGGTTGATTAACAGGGAAAGCATGTTTTGGATAGTCTATTTCTAAGGTTTGTAATGTCTGGAGTAGCCTGTCTGCTGGCAGGTGATTGTCAACCTGTCCTGGGAAATTTATTAGTTAAAGTTTGAAAGAGTGAGCTATTCTGCATCAATGTGGACAGTTCTAATTGTGATAGGAGTAGGACCACTATTTCTGGC